CAGAGACTACGTTTCCCAGAAGGTATTGAGACATTGGCCCAACGACAACGCAGCATCGGCGATGCTTTGTGCGTCTGCGCCATCTTCCGGCTCCAGGCGGCAAGTCAGCCGGTACCGAGGAGGGAGCGCAGTCTGAGCTGCCGGGGCGCAGTCGCTCCGGGTGCTGGACCTGAGAAGGCAGCAGGTGAGGGGCTTCAGAGCTTGAGAGGCGCTCCGGGGTCCGTGCGGGGTCAGGAGCCGCTGCCGGGCCGGTCTCGGGCTTGGGAAGAACCGGCAAGTCTAGCGCCAGCGTCGGTCTGAAGCGTTTCCGGTTGTGGACTACATTTCCCGTCGGCCCCCGCGGCGCGCGCCCCGTTGGCGCCCCCTTTCTGGGTCCAGGCTCATAGTCGGAGCCCATGGACCCTTTAGGTGGGTATGAGGGTTCCCTCCCTGACCTCTTGAAAATGTATGCATAAGTTTTGCATTCATTCGCATGTGCCCTTTTTATTAGCTGGGATTAATTTCGTTTCATGAGATTCTCAAAGAGTTAATTGCAAGAATTGAAAAGATTTAGAACCCTTAGGTTAAGTACTAGCCTGCTAACCAAAAGGTTGGCGATTTAGACCTACCCAGCGGCTCCTCTGGAGAGAGATCTGGCAATCTGCTCCTATAGAGATTACAGCCTAGAAGATCCTGTGGGGCAGTTCCACTCTGTCATATAGGGTAGTTATGAGTCGAAATCAACTCTGTGGCACCCAAAAACAGTAAGTTTAGAAGAGGTCGCCTGGTGGCGCAAATGGTTTGTGCTTTATTAACAACCTAAAGGTTGGCAGTTTGAACACACCCAGTTACACCGCGGAAGAAGGGCCTGTGATATGCTTCTATAAAGATTACAGCCAAGAAAACCCTATGGAGCAGCTCTACTCTGTAATAGACTTTTACCTGGGAACATTTTAGATAATTTTGTACCAAAATCCATATCCTGCAATAGGGAAATGGTTGAGTAGATCACAGGCCTTCCCTGTGATGGAATCTTGTACAGCTAATACAAATAATGCTTGTAACAGTGGTCTTAACGATGAATGATGTCCACTACATAATGTTAAACAAAATTCATAATTATTTTATTTACACATTATTTAGAATTAAGTATTTTTAACATGCCAAACACTATGCTAAGCCCTTTTACAAAATACTACCTCATTTATTGATGAACTCAAGAAGTGGTTAGATGACATCACTCTTAATACTTGGGTGTTTTCTATTCCAGTTTCTTTTTTGCCCGTGTGTCACTGGGTGGGTGGGTTTGATTTCTTTGTGCTTAATGTTCTCACATTGGACAAAGGATCCAGTTGTAAAGATCTTTCTTTGTCAATTAATGTTGCTTAACATCAGTTTTGATAGGT